TCAATTAAGTCTCATCCTTTTTCTGTTACTGTTCCTAAGTGCAATAAAAACTCTTATTCGTCTAGTTTCTTTCCTCGAACATCAGTTCTTTGGAATTCGCTTCCTTCATCTTGCTTTCCTGATTCATATAATTTGCAATCTTTTAAGTAGTCTGTCAATCACTATCTTGCTCTACAATCTTCATCTTGTCTCTTTTAGTAACTTCCAACACTAATTAGTGGTTGCTTGCAGCCTTGTTGGAAGCGAAGATAATTAAAAATATATATCAGGCTTTCCCAGGAAAGGCGTGCGGTCGCACGCCTTGTTTGTCCACGCATAGAATAAATTTTTCTGACTAACTGACCACATTTTATTATTATGCGTTTCAAGAATTCGCGCCAAAACAAAGCTAAACGAAAATACCGCAAAAATGCAAGCAATCTTAAAGTAAATAACAGAGATCTGTTTGTGCTTTAAAATTAAAAAATTAATGTATATTATTAAAAAAAATTTACCTACATTTTATTTTTTTTTTTTTTTAGGGTGGTAGTTATTTTAGCTATGAAAAATCAAATCAATAAGAAAAATCAAATCAAAGAGAAAAAGATTAATGTTTAAAGAAAATAAAAGGACCTTTTAATGTAAATTTGTTTATGACTTTTATCAGTCAGTAATACTTTAAAATTCACGATAGAACTATAAACAATTTTTAAATGTTTCGTAAATACATTTAAATGTTTAAAGGGATCCCTAAGTGCTCCTAACATATGATCTCATATGAAAGAGCATAAAAAAAAATATGTAAGTTTTTTTTCTTTTTCACTAAATTGTAATAATAAATGCTAACAAAAAGCAATTGCCGAAATCACTAAAAAACAACTCCATTTTGATTTTATTTTTTCACCATTGAAACTCGATTGTTAGTCGTTAAAAATCACGTTAGTACGTCACAACAACTTTAGAATATCTACTTCGATTTTCAAGTAAAAAAAAGTCGCGATTAAATAGTTAAGTTTTAATCAAGTTTTTTTAATTAGTTTTGCAGAAACAGTATAATAGCATTCGATTGAAAAGACGTCGTTAAAAAAAAGTTTAAGTAATAAGTTTAAATATTTTAGAACTTATAAAAAAGTCTTACAGGGCTCGTATTAAGCGTATCGCTATCGCGATTGCAACACACACTTTTGTGATTAGTTTTTTCTTAAAAAAAATCTTTTCACAACTCGTTTTTTTTTTTGGTTGATTAATTTTTTTTTTCTAGCTTAGCATTTTTTTTAGCAATTTTTAAAAGTAATGTTTTTATCATAAAGAACGTCATACAAAATTTATTATTCTAAATAGATAGATGAATAGATGATTTGCTCTTTCGCGCGGAGATTTTCTTTCAACGTAAAACATTTTTGAATTTAAATTACTTTAAGTCTCTGCGTGGAATAATTTTACAAGGTCGAAAAGTTGAAAAGTTGGTTTTTATCTTTGTTTATCAAAACTTCATGTTTAAAATAAGGCTTAAAAACGTTAGAGCAAAAAAATTACTGACTTTTATTTGCATTTTTATACTGTATATTAATATATAATTATTAATTAATATATTATTAGTTAATTCTTTTTTATTAGTTTTTTTTTCAAACAGTATAAAAATGCTAATAAATCATTTTTTTTACTTTAACGTTTTTAAGACTTATTTTAAACATGAAGTATAATTCGATTTATTAAACCAAATTTTTTTTTATTGGAAAACTTGAAATAGAAAAATTGAATAAAAACATCAACCATTTAAATGAAAAACTTAATTATATTTAAACTTTTATTAGTCCTTTATTCAAGAAACAATAAATTATAAAAAACGTGGTATCTTTTTTATTAAGTTTTTGATGATGTTTTTTGATTTATTGACGATAATTTTTTCCCCCCATTACCGCACATCGGCGCGAGCTATAAGAGAGAGAGGGGGAGGGGAGTGAGCAACAAAAAAAAAAAAAAAATTTCGCGATTACATTTTTTTGCGTTAATTCGAGCCCTGTCTCAGTTTAATTTCTAATAAAATGTCTATTCAACCTTATCAATTTGAACCAAAAAAATATAGCAAACATAAATGTTAATTTAACTAAAACATTTTACAATCATTATTTTCTTTATCAAGCAAAAACGAGAGTAACCATCACTTTTGAAAATATAAAAATTACTGAAATAAATTTATTTTTTTACTAAGGAAATATTTTAAATAAACTTTCATATGTCTAAGTCAATATTCATTTGTTTTTAACTGACTAAAAAGAGTTTAAAATTTGACTTCTATTCATTTTTAGCCATGGAATTGCCCTTATAACACAAATATATAAATTAATATTATAAAAAAAATTTTAATATACAAATATATTTTCACAAAATCCTACAAAACTTATTCTTGTAAGTTTTGTAGGATTTTGCGCCTTTACATAAACTTTCGTAAAAACTAAAGTAAATGAAAAAGTTTAACCAAATTTGTCTAGCGTAAATAATGAATCAGTTTTTTAATACATTGTCTGATAAAGTTTGTGAATAAATTACGTATCAAGTCTTTTTATTTTCGTGAAAATAAAAAGACTTGATACGTAATTTATTATTTTCGTGAAAATAAAATCATAATATTATTTTCGTGAAAATAAAAAGACTTGATACGTAATTTATTCACGAACTTTATCAGACAATGTATTAAAAAACTGATTCATTATTTACGCTAGACAAATTTGGTACAAGTGATTCATGATTTACGCTAGACAAATTTGATTCAAGTCAAGGGAAAGACGACTTATCGTCGTCTTTCCCTTGACTTGTATCAAATTTGGTAGCTGAAAATAGCAACCCTTAAAAAAGCAAACAAAAACAGTATAAAAAGTTTGAAAAAAATATTCAAGACTTTTTTTTTTTTTTGTTACAAGAATCTTTTTTTTTTAATTTTTTTTTTTATTATCAAAATATTTTTCTTACATCCAATTTCAATTTATACTTTGTTTAGACTTCGTTTCCTTTTTTTAATATTATTCTTTATTCTCTGTGAATAATTTCCGCTTTCACACGAAATATTGCCGCAGTCACGTTTTCTGAAAAACTTATTCTATGCGTGGACAAACAAGGCGTGCGACCGCACGCCTTTCCTGGGAAAGCCTGATATATATATATATATATATATATATATATATATATAAAATATTCAAAACATATTTTTAGATACCTTATCAAGTGTTGTTCTAAGAATTAATTTGTGTATTGGTGAACTAATTGCTTTTCAAACCTATTGAATTTTACTCAATTGATCTAATGATGCATAAAATTGACTGCAAAAAAAACAATCATACAGTTCAAAGATAATGTCAAATTGATCAAACTCCATGGAAATTAGTATCGAGTGGGGCCTCCTTTAGCCTCGATAGTTTGACATTAATTGTGGGTCTCTTCTGCTGTTTTATTATCCCATGCCCTCATTATAGCTTCTTTCAAGTTGTCTTTGTATCTAAATTCTCGTTTGCCAATTTTTCTGTCCAAAAAATACCACCAATTTTCTATTGGATTCAAGTCCGGACTTTGAGATGGCCATTCCAAAACATTGATAATAATTGTGTCAAAGCATAACTTTCTTTTCTTAGCAGTATGTTAAGGATTGTTATCCTACTGGAGTTATCCTACTATCTTTAAAATTATGATTTTTTTTGAAATGTACCATTATTTTTTTTTGCATACTTTATATATATAAGAAGATCATTGAATAAAAAATATTAAAAAACTGAATGGAACAAATATAAACAAAATCTTTTTTTTTAAAACAATGCTTTCAAAGTAATCTTTACTTTAGTAAAAACGCGAAAAAAAAAATTTTATGAGGAAAGTGGGGCATCTCCCCCAGTGTCCCGCCAGTCTGGTCACCTGCCAGAGGGGGGCAACACTGAGGCCATTGATCTTTTTTGAAAGATCAATGAAAATAGAATGAGGTGTAATAATTTTTTTTATATCATCAAGGCCACATGAGCATCAAAATCAGGTATATAAAAAATTGTCTAAATTTATTTAAATTAATACAGGTACTTAAAAATAATTTTTTACCTTTCTGATAATTTCATTAGATTTAACCCCTCCCCCCTCCTTCCTGAAAATACCCATGTACAAATTTTTAATTGAAAAGATTAAATATTTTTAAAGTTATTATCTTAAAACCTCTAAACAAACATTGCAATTCTGAAGAGACAAGAGAGGCCTGGCTAACATCTGTTTAAAGTAAAAAGATCATATTTCTTGGATCTTCTCGGAGCCAGAGACTAAAATTTACAAGGAATACTATGTACTCTCAACTGTAAAAAACAGCAAAATCTGAAATTTTTGAAAAAAATCAGAAAATTCTGGGTCATTTGACATGGAATTACCAAAGTACATTGACATGGAAATTAGCAAACCTCAAGCTTCTATTTTATTGTTACAAGATTCTCTTTATCACAAATAATACCATGCTTGATGCTCAACCAAGTTATTAAAAGCTTGTTCTACCAACTAAAATTTGGTCACATGCAAATTTTCATCAAGCTAAGTCTAACTGTTTCTTCATGCTCAAAAAACTTTTGTTTATTTAGTTTTTTTTCTAGAATGTTAGCAATTTGGAATCTTTTTTTTTTGAAACCCTGTATTCAAACTATTTATTATTTTTCAAACAGCCTTGTCAGAAATGAATTTCATAAAAAAAAAGAAGTTCTAAATATTTCTAAACTTATTTATGTTTTAATTTATTATTGATATTTCTAAACTTCATTAAAAAAAACTTTAAGATTGATAAGTGTATATAAATTTAAGAATAAATTTTATTCATTAATCATAACATTTATTGTTTTATCATAAAAGTCAAGTAAAGTTGTTAATCTAATCAAGTAGTCAGTCACAAAATTTATTTTAACATTTTTAATGAAAAAATTTTAAAAATTAATTTATTCTACTTAAGAAATATTTAAAATATATTTATTTAAAAAATAATACTTAAAATTAAAAAAAACTCTCACAAGCCATTGAAGAAGGACTATCATCAAATGCATTCCAATTTCCAGTTCTAAAAAAAAAATTAATTATAAATATTAATAATAATAACATCAAGAAGAACAATAATAATTATACACGAAACAATAACTCTTAAAGAAAGAGCCGATTTTTAAAAATACAAAATGAGCAATATTATTTTTATGTTCTAACTTAAATAAAAAATTTAGGTTAGCACATTAAAAAAATATTTATACAGGGTAGTGGTGTAGTGGTAGAGCACTTGCTTCATAAGCTAGAGGTTCTGAGTTCGATCACCACCAAGTCCCTGGTAGTACCACGCTTAACTTATTTCTCTGCGCAGCAGCCTTGTTTGTCAATGTTCATGTTTCGGAGTTATAGAGTTGAGAGAGGGTTAAAACCACAATTAAGTAGCCTCCTCGTTTGTAGTGGCCTTCTTGGCCTTAGAGAGGTGAATTAAAAAAAAAGTAACTTAAAAAATACAATAATGGCTACAAAAAAAATCTGATAATAACAAATAACTATAATAAAAATATAGTTATAAAAAACAGCTTTAAAAAGTTATTTTCAAATAAAAAGGTTATTAATAAAGTGCACTTCCAATTGCTTTTTTTAAATGAAATAATATTTAAAGCAGTAAAAACAAAATTGCTCCAAATCCTGTTTTGAAAATAAACTCTTCCATATTTTAATTAAAATGTAATTAAAATTAAAATAAACCAACAAGATAAAAAGAATTATTTTATAAATTAAATATTAAAAAATAATAATAATTGTGTTTTGATGAAAAGGTGTGTTATATAAGTGCGAAATCAGGGATTAAACTAAGAGTGTTGCAGTCAAGGAGTTGCATTCAGTGTGAAACTTACCCAATTTTATAAACTGGTGCAGATATAGGTCTTCCTTTCTTTGGTGGATTCGGTGCATATTTTTTGTTGCCTTTAAAAAGTTCATTGTCTGTATGAGATGGAGCAGCATAAGGAGAATTCATAAATAACACAGATCTTAAATAGATTAAAATAATACACTTAAAAATACATGTATAAACTGAAAATTAAAAAATACTGATTTAATATTTAAGGTAAAATTGAACATAGTTTTAATATTAAAAATATATTAATAATAATTATATATAAATAAATAAAATATATTAAATATACACTTTATATTTATAAATATATATATATATATATATATATATATATATATATATATATATATATATATATATATATATATATATATATATATGTATATATTTAGTATTAAAAAATACAATTACTTATCACTGTTTATTTTTTTATCGCTTTTTCCTTTTTTTGCAAATTCTTCAAGATATCGGGCAATAACAGCATCTTGATTGATTGCCTGTCTGAAGTTACTGATATAGGGTTTGCTACTAGCTGGTCTTCGAGGTAGGGTAGACCCTACTGAAGTGTTCATTTTCTGATTTTAATTAACATTTTATTGTTGATTTTCTAGCATATGATGAAAAAAATACTTATTCATTGTTGCATAACAGGGAATTATAAAAATAATTTCAGAATATAAATTAAAAACACTTAACTTGTAGTAACAAATTCAATTTTTCAAAACATAATTTTTAAAAATTTAATTTTCAAAAATTTAAAAAAGACACAACTAAAAGATCGCTAAATAATAAATAAAAAATATCAAAAAGAAAAAAAAAAGATGAAAAAAAAAAGGAAAAGAAAAAAAAGCACTAAGAAGTAGAAGTTTAAAAAGAAGAAAAATAGAAAAAAGCAGAAAAGTACAAGAAAGCATAGGAAGGAGAAAAAAAAAAAAGAAAAAGAAGAAGTATTTAAAAGATATAGTAGAAAGAAGAATTAATGAAAAGAAAAAGAAAAAAGAGAAACAGAGAAAAATAAAAGAAGTTTAAAAACACAAAAGTTTTGTTCCATAAAATTTATTTAAAATTAAAGAAAATGCTAGTGCTAAATAATTATAGAAGGTTCTATATATTTTAAAGAAAATGAAATTTTTTTTTTTTTTAATTAAAAGTGAATTAAACATTAAATTACTCAGGCCACAAACAAAAGTATTTTGTTGCCAAGCAAACAAATACTTTTTTCGTATAGAATTTTGATTTAAATATGCAACTTATTTTACCAAATACTGTCATTCCGATCAACATTCCACAATATTCTACTTATTTATTGACATAATCATTAATTTCAACCTTTTTCTTTCCATTTCTTTATCATTTTTTTAATTTCCTTATAACCATAAAACTTGTATTATTAATCATTCTAATGTCTGTTATTATTCTTAATTACTTGTGTATGTGTGTGTGTGTGTTTATACTCTCAACTTGCAATCAAACATAGATCATTTGCATAGACTAACCCACATTATAAACTAATTCTAACTTTTTAAAAAGCTCTTATAACTTTTTTTTATTATTTAAATACTTTATCTCATATAATATAAATATAACAAACTTTACTAGTTTAACTAGGATCTCATATAATATAAGTATAAAAAACTTTATTCAAAAAATTAGGCTGTTTATAGAGCTATCAAATGTTTAATAAAAACATTGATTGTTTGATATTGTCAGCAACCAACTGCTACAATTGCTTTTTCTAGCTCCTTTAAAAAAAATAGTAGACAAAAATAGTTTAACATTGTTGCAGTTTAAATAAAACTACTGTACAGTACTTCAAACTCATTTGTTATTATCTTATCTGTAAATAGAGTTGTTATTGAAAAACTAGATTAATCATTTACTATTCTATTAGTACTCTCTATTAATTAATATTCATCTCCAAAACATTTAGTAAAAAAAATGTTTTTCTAAACTTTAAATTTTAAAATGCTCTTGGTTTTTGTTCTTTATCTTGTATTTTCTTGCATTTTACCTTCGCTCACCATTGCTACTATCAAGGCATTATTATTGCCATTATCACTATTATGGCACTATCATTGTTATGGCCCCCACTATTATCACTGTTATCAGTAAAAACGGCATCTTGATAATATTAAAAAAATGTATAATATTAAGCTTTAACAATCAAAATGCACATTAAGTAATATTTTAAATATGATTTGTCTTTCTGCATCATTTTTTTTTTTTTTTTTTTTCACACACAAATGCTTCTTTATAGTTTCACAATGTTTGGATTCTAAGTTGCTTAATAACTTGGTTTCTAAGTTGCCTGAATAACTTAGTTATTAAGTTGCCTGAATATTAGATTGAATAATACAATAAAATTTTAATTTTGGCAGACCAACAAAAAAAAATTTGTTGAACACCATGTATGAGCAAACTTCTATAAACCAAGAACTAAAGACTTTAAATATTTTAACTTGATATTTTAATGTAAACAACACAAATAATACTACAGTCATATTTACAACACGAAAACCAAAAAATAACCAATTATCCTTAAAAAACCTTTGTCAGGCCTAATTGTATGAATATATTTTTCACACACACACACACACACACACACACACACACACACACACACACACACACACACACACACACACACACACACACACACACACACACACACACACACACAAACACACACACACACACACACACACACACATACGCACGCATTATCGCACACGCAAATGCACACACGTTCATAAAGCACTTTGTTAAACGAAAAAATAAAATAAAACTTCCATTTCAATTATTTTGAAATACTAAACTGAACTAAAATTATTTTATTCTCAAAAGTATTATCTATTAATAAATTTTATCTTGTGATTAAACAAGTAGATAACAAGAGTTACTGTACAATACTGAATTAAAAAAATGTTAGACCAACATTTTGCATATTTTTAAAAATTGGTTGTTGTTTTATTTCAATATCGTGAATATTACGTAACAATCAAATTTACATTTAGAACAACTTTATTTTTTAAGAATTTTCTAACTTATTTTAAAATACCTGAAAAGCTGTTTTAACCAGCTTGTTGCTAATCTACATTAAAATATAAATATAAATATGCATTGATTGAATAACAAAAATATTCATAATTAAAAGCAATTGTTAAAGATTTATAAATTATACATTAGGATATTTATTATCGTAACATTCACAAAATCATAAACGCATTATTGCTATAAACTTTAAAAATTCAATCGTTATTACAGTTTTTTTAACATTAAAACAAAAATTTCCAAAAATAATACTATTTTATTAACACACAAAAAAAAACATGTTATTTTTAGTCCGGATAAGTAAAAATAACAACAGCGTTGTTATTTTCACAATTCTAATAAAGGGGAGGGGGTGTTTCTATTTATTTCTATTGATCATCGGAAAAGTAATCGTTTATCGTGTAACATCACGAAAATGGTACAAACAGGTATAAAAACAAAAACGAGCATAGTATTGTGATGACTTTTAGCACTATTATGTTGTTTATATTTCTTTTAATTGTTTTAGTAGATAAAAAGTTTAAAAGTACTTTCCTACCTTCTCTATCTATGGTTTAGATTTATAACAATTATATCAACTTTATTAATCGTTGTGCAACAGTAAAACAATCGATAAAGATCTACAACCTGCACAAAACACCTCTAATCAAGTCTCCAATCAATTATATCATTGATTAATCAAGAAAATATGAACTGATCTAGAACTTTTGATTACTTTTTAGATTAGGGTATGGAAACTCAAAGCCGGTTATTCGGTATTGTAGTAATTTCGTACTGGAGTACCCGTATTAAACCGAGATTCTGCATCAAAGCTCAAACATAACGTAAATTGAGGTTCAATCTTGTTTTTTTTTTTTTTTTTGGTGAAATTTATTTTGCCGTTAAAGAATGATTACATTGCATATACGTATATCAAAATTAATGGCTGAAGCAAGAAAAAGACTCAGTTTGCCTTATCGCCCCACATATAAAAAAAATTCTACATAATCGTATCATACAAATATATAAATGTTTAAGAATCATTTAAAGAAAAAGTTTGAATAAAAAAATAATAATATAAAATTTCATAATTAATATTATCACAAGATGAATTTTATCAAGTGAAAACCATTTATATATATATATATATATATATATATATATATATATATATATATATATATATATATATATATATATATATATATATATATATATATATATAATAATAATAATAATAATAATAATAATAATAATAATAATAATAATAATAATAATAATAATAAGCAATAACCTAATAAGCAAGCTATTAAATTGTATTCTTTCTAAAAATTAACCACTGGGGCAAAATTGCATAGACGCATATAATCTAATACAGAATTATATAGGTATATAATTCTGTATTTTTTAATTCATTTATTTATATATTTATTATATATATATATATATATATATATATATATATATATATATATATATATATATATATATATATATATATATATATATATATATATATATATATATATATATATATCGAATGAGAATCCTCAGAGTGTAAATACAAAGAATGCAGTACGTGCAAACGTGCACCAAAAAACAATCTGAGCTGTGACAATTGTAAAGATGTAATGTACCACGAAATGTGTACCCCTAAATGTAAATTGTAATGTACCACAAAATGTGTACCCCTAACAATTTTTGTGAGGGTGCGGTTGTGCCTCACAATGGGGGCAAAATCGTTTTTTTCACAAGGTCTAATTTTTGTGTAATAATCTTTTCAAAAACCGTTTAATTTTTTTTTTTAAATAGCATCAATTTAAAGCTTAATAATGTGGTTATTGAAAAAAACTGTTAAAAAAACTCATTTCGTTTTTATTATCATATAATATTAATCCAAACGTTACGGGGGCGGTTATGCCTCCACTTCCCATATAAATATTTGTTACTTACAAACCCTTCATTAACTTTACATAACTGTTCATTAACTGTTTTAAAAAGTGTTTTAATATCTCTGTGAGAAAAAATCAGATTGGAATCATCAGCAAACAAATGGGAAAGATGGATACTTTGAAGCAACATCAGGGTATAGATTTTCAACTCCTTTGTTAATATAGGGAACTATTGATTACTCAAACTTAAAATCAGGTCCCCTGAGAGTTCGATAATCAATTGTAGATTATTAGTTTATAAATAGCTCTGTTTATGTTTTTTTTAATTTCTAATTTTAAATGGAATTTAAATTCTATAGAATTTCTGTAGGCTTTATGTTTCAAAAGTCTATAGAAATTCTATAGAACTTTTTTTCCTGGAAAGCGTTATGGCCATGGTAATTTACACTTGAGTATATATTGCCGATCGTTATGTTTGTAGGTCAATATTATGTATAATAATGAAAATGAGTAAAGTTTAGTATTAGTTACGGTTTATAATTTATAATTTAGTATTAGTAAGGGTTGCTATACATCTTCTTTCCCGGATCCCTTTTTTTTTAACAAGTTATCTGTCCGAAGAATTTTCCCAAAACTTTTTTTTTACAAACAAAGCTTTGGTGTACATCGATGCATTCGAACATGTCCAGCGTTATCAAAGTTTCTGCTCA